TTACTTACTTACAGTACTGGGGATTGAACTCAGGACCCTGTGCTTGGCAGGCAGGCACTTATTCTACTGAGCTATCTCCCCGGCCCGAGACTCTACCTCAAAAAACAAAAACAAATCAATTTAAAAAGGGAGGAGAGTGGGCTAAGGACGTAGCTCAGTACTTAGGTCCTGAGTTCAGTCCCCAGGACTGAAAAAAATCATTCAGTACATGTACAGAATTAATGATTATATGTAGGAAAATAAACATACGAGATGTTCAATCTCATCAAGCATTAGAAAAATGGAAATTAACACAATGTGAGCCAGGGACAGAGCTGTATGCCTGTAATCCCAGACATGTATGTAAATCCAGGAGTTCAAGGTCAGCCTGGGCAACACAGTGAGACCCCCGCCTCAGAAACTCTAAAACAAAATGGGAAAGCAGTGTGACAGCTCTCCGTGCCCACTTGAATAGCTGAAACCAAAAGGATGATGAGGACACAAAGCCAACCTGAACTCATCTGTTGCTGGCTGCAGTATAAAAGGGCTTGTTACTTTGTCAACAGTTGGGTAATTTCATAGGAAGTTGGGCAGACCACCTGGCAAGGGCACTCCCCGGTGAACACCCTCCAGAAATGTGAGCAGAGGTTCCTCACAGGCAGGAGCTGAGCTGCTCTTAGTGGCGCTGCTCTAACCAGCCTCAGACTGGAAAAAATCCAAACATCCATCAACACGTGCACGGAACAGTACGTTGTGGCTCCTTGAGACGACAAAATATTACTTGGAAACTGCAGTGACACATGCCATTGAGCGGCTGGCTCTCACAGTGTGACACAGAACAACATATAGTGTGATTTTCTATTCTACCCCAAACCAGGCCAAAAGAAGCCAGGCTGGGAGAAGCAGGGTGGTGGTGGCCTTGGGGGTGCTGGCTGTGGGGAGATGTCCAAGGGGCTTTGGAAGGCTGCTGCATCCTGATTTTTTTTTGTTCTGGGGATTGAACCCAGGGCCTTCACGCTGAGCTGCACCCCACTGTGAAGTGCTTTATTCATTTTTCATTTTGAGACAGGGTCTTGATTAGCTACTCAGGCTGTATTCAAACTCTTGATCTTCCTACCTCAGCCTTCCCAGAGGGCCGTGTTCTGATTCTTGCCCTCAGTGTTCACCTTGTCACAGGTCATCTAATTCTCATGAATTAAGACTCTTCTCAACTCAAGTGATAAGTCCACAAACATTGAGAAGCAGCAGAAGGGTATAGCTCAGCAGACTAAGCCCTTGCTTAGGTAAGTGCAGGGGCCAGGGTTTGATTCCTGGCACTGCATGTGGTGCTGGCCCTGCTCCTGGGCACCCTGAGCCTGTGATGGATTCTGGGCCTGGTGGCACATGCCTGTAATCCCAGCACTAGGGAGGCAGAAATCAGGAAGATCACTATGAATCTGAGCTGCGTAGTGAGATCCTGCACAAAAACAAAACAAAACAAAACAAAGAATCCCTGAAAACCAAGAGAAGAGAGGGGTGTGGTGGCACATGCCTGTTGTGATCCCAGCGTTCTGGAGGCTGAGGTAGGCCCTGGGATGCACAGTGAGTTTAGCCTGGACTACATAGTGAGACCCTGACTCAGAAAACAAAAACACAGTGGGTTCCAATCCCCTTAGACCACTTTTAATCTCCCCACTTTTTTTTGAGGCAGGGCTTCACTATGCAGTTCAGGCTGGCCCTGAACTCACTTCATAGCCCAGGGTGGTCCTGAACTCCCAGGAATCCTCCTGCCTCAGCCCCTCAAGCACTGGAATTACAAATCCCTTTCCCTTCCTTCTGTACTGCAAATTGTGCACTGAACCCTGGACCTTTGAACTGAGCTACACTGAGCTATACCCTTACACACTTATCCCTAACAAAAAACCAAAAAAACCTATATATATATATATGGTGGCAGGGTCTCAATAAGACTTTAAAATGACTAGGCTGGGCTTGAACCTGTGCTCCTCTTGCCTTGCCTCCCACAGAGTTGGGTTTACAAGTGTGTTCCACCACGCTCGGCGGCTTCAGATAGCTTTCCTTTGTGTTTTACCCATCACTGACAGGAAGTGGTGTCATCTAGCAAACTGTGAGAGGACACTTTGGGTGAAGTGGTCAGGCTCCCTGGAGGCCCTACCTGGCTTCTGGCGCTCCATGGTACTCTCCTGGCTGGTCAGGCCACCGGAGGAGGAGTCACCGCTGGACATCCCATCGTGGCTGAAGTGGGGATCAAAGGACAGCAGAGGATGTGGGGCAGCCGCGTACCTGCAGGTGGTGAGGGGATACAAGCACAGGGTAAAGGACCAGCATGTCAAACCACTCAAATGGTGAGTCCTAGTGGGAGGCCACAGCATGGATCAGAGAGAAGCTGCTGCTAGGCTGCAGGAGCAGCCTGGGGAGTGCTGTTAGCCTCAAGGAGGTGGAAGCCATAGCTGTGGGGAGGCAGCAACTGGAAACGCAGGGCCTGGCAGGTTTTTTAAGGAGGGAGAAGAGGAGCTTGGGCTGATCCTCCACCTTTAGGCTCCTGAGGGGTCCTGGCTTCCCCTTGTGAAATGAGGTGCTGGGAAACAGCCTGCTCCTATCCTGTCTCAGACCTTCTTCTTTGAGGGAGACAGGCAGGAAGAGAGAACATTTGCAGGATAGGAAGGCTTAGAACTGGGCAGGCTAGGTTTGCACTGTACTACACCCTCTTGCCCAGCCAGATGCAGTAAATTCCTAGGCCTGGTCCTTAGATTCTCTAGTAGTCAGAGGCATTCGCAGGTGGCCCTTCCTCACAGGACTTATAGTGCTGAGCCTGGGGCTGACACATAACATATACTGAGTTGTGACAACTGGCCGGCAGCCTAGGTCTCTGTACGTCCCTTGGCTGCTGGGGATGTGGCATGGGCTCAGGCTTCAGGATGAGGCAACTGTGGGCTCAAGCCATGTGCTCACCACAGGCTGTGGGATCTTGTTGAAGCAGGTGCATATTCGTCTGAAATGTAGTTAGTTCATCTGAAAAACTGTCTGCTTCCTGGGGGCAAAAAGTGAATGGAGTATAGGAGTTACACCCCAGGCAGAGGTCCTCCTCCTAGAGGTCGACTCTGCACACCCACAGGCAAGTCCAGGGTTTAAGGGTGGTGGCCTGTGGCCTCAGGTGCTTCTTCATGGCTCATGGACATCTCTCACTATCTGATCCACCCCCATCAGAGCCAGTCATGGCAGATACTCTTTCTCTGCTTGGGGTCGGTTTGGAGACAGGCATGTGATAGTTTTGGCTAAGGAGATATAAGGGTTTGTCAGTCATTAAAACTTCCACAAACTATTTCTAGTTCTGCCTGCAAGCACATGGCAGGACAGCATTCCTGAGCCTGAGAGTGGCTGAAGGGGCCTATGGCTAGTTCTCCTCAATGAGCCAAGAGGAAGAGATGGGAGACGATGACTGTTCAGGGAGCTTGGGTCCTTCAAGGTCAAGGACCTGTCAACTGGTAGTGGCACTGAAGAGTAGGTGAAGTTCCCACCCTCTTCTAAGCAGTACTGAGGATAGAATACAGGGCCTTAGCTTGCACTCTACCACTGAGCAACTCCCCCAGGTCCAGAGAAATAAACTCTAGTTAATTTAAATCATGTAGATTTTCAGGTGTTTATTACCCAGCATAACTGACTAAACCAGCTGCCAGGTGGCTTCTGAGAAGAGTCCCCCTGCTCCTAAGAGGGACGACAAGAAAAGATGGCCTCTTGTTTGCTGCAGAAGGTGCTGGGTCCACACATCACATCCCAAGCTGTGGCTGCCTTCCAGCTCCCGGCCTGAGGGGCAGGTGGAGAACAGGAGGTACACAGCTGGGCTCCTGCTGCAGCAGCCACACTGGGCAATGCCTCCAGAGCTGCCCTGCCTCTGAGCAGCCTTTGCTGTGATGCCCAGGCCTGACCCTGTCAGTCAGACGCGTGCACTGACACTGGCCTGTGTCTGGGAGTTTCTGAGCCTCCACCACTAATGCTGTTTTGAATCTTGCCCCTTGTATTGGTCCCTTCCTCTTGGGAAGACATGGCAGGGAGAAGAGATGGTGACCTGAGACCCTCAACAGTCAACAGAGGCGCTCTCCAGGTCACCTGCCAGCTCACCGTCAGGGCTGTCTCTGTGAAGAGCAGGTTCTAACCTCCAGGCTTAACTTCTCCAGGATAGCAGAGGGCCACTTCAGAGGGCCTCTGAACTTCCTGGCAACTCAACTCCAGTCCTCTGCCTGGGAAAGACACATTATCCTCCCCTTCCTGGACCAGACCCTCCCCTCCAACTTCTGAAAGGAAGAGAGCCAAACTACCAAAACTGGTATCTTACTTATTCTTACTTTGCTTCACATCCAAAGGTCCAGTTTCTGGAAATCTAAGTGATTTTACAAAGGCAACTTTGACTCTAGGCCAACTATATTTCGTTGGCTGCCTTTGTACCTGGCTAGCTGCCTGGCAAATTATGGCTGCACCATAGCTGCAGACAGAGTGTTGACATGTTTATACAGTTTCCCCAAAGAGTTGGTACTGAATCCTGAGCACCAAAGGAAAATGTCAACAGAGGCCAGGATCAGATGCCAGAGGAAAGTGAGAAGGATGGGAGGCCCACACCACAGACTGCTGCCCCAGTATCTGCTCTGTGCTGTCTTCCTCGGTAGGAGAATCTTAACTATATTTGGGCAGCAATGTGATTGGCTAAAAGACTACACTTCCCAGACCCTCTTGCAATTCTGGCTAATGAGAGGTGAGCAAAGATGCTGCCTTTGACTTCTAGCCAGGAAAGCTCCTGAGAGGTGTGTTGTGGTTGCCTTTGCCTCATCAGTTTCAGGCATGTGCCACCACACCCAGTTTTCCTTGTTGTGCTTTTGCCTCATTTCCTTAAGGTTGCAGCTTGAGCAACCACCAAGGAGCAGAAGGGAGAAGGCCAAGGACAGTGACATCAAGGAGGAGCCAGGTCCCTAACACTGGAAAAAAGAAAATCTCTCTGCTGGATGCCTGTTTGTTGGATTATGCATGCAGTTAAACCTAATCCTACCTGATAGACCACTGCTAGCAGATACATACTTTACCAAGTTCTTCTCTTAATGTATTCTTTTTTTTTTTCAGAACCAGAGATTGAACTCAGGCCCTTGCGCTTGCCAGGCAAGCACTTATTCCACTGAGCCATCTTCCTGGTTCTCCAAGTTCTTCTCTTGTCCCCACCAAGACCTCCTTATTCCCATGCAAAATGACTGATTTATGTTGACTTTTTTTTTTTTTTTTTTTTGCGTAACCAGGGATTGAACTCAGGCCCTTGTGCTTGCCAGGGAAACGCTTATTCCACTGAGCCATCTCCCTGGCCTTATGTTGACTATTTATTGTGACACTAAATATGTTGCATTTGGGGCCATTTCTTATCAATGCCCAATTCTGGTCAATGGATTGCGAATCAGGACACCTCATCACACAGAAGGCTCTGGGCAAACGTCCCTGAAAGAGGAGACTGGCTGGCTGTCTTCCAGCTCAGCTGAGACACTTCAGGGTAATCACGCTGCTTTTTAGTAGAAGATGAAATCACTTTCAAGATAAAGGGCTTTGGGTTATGTTGACTAACTAGTTGCAGTTTTGGGCATCTCCAGTAGAAGGTGGATGTAGTGATTCTGAGGTTGAGGTGGGATCTTTACAGTCAGCAGGGGCTGGGGAGATAGCTCAGTGGTGTAGCGCCTGCCTGGCAAGTGCAAGGTCCTCAGTTCAATCCCTAAGTCCCCAAAATACAGTCAGCAGGGTTGGGCTCTGGCACTGCTGGCACGAGCCTCCCACTCCCACAAGGAAAATACCAAGAGCGACATGAATGTGGGTAAGAGCCTCACCGGAGCAGGGGCTCCAGCCTGCCATCACTCTTCTACCTTCAAGGGCAGAACAGTGGGATTGCAGGATAGCTGGGTAGGAGGGCAGGCAGATGGTAGAGCTGCTGCAGGCTGCCCCCAAAAGCCATCGACTTCTTTCTTCCTATTGGTGGACGCCAGATTCTTTTCTGGAAGCCATTCCTCTCTTACATGACTTAGGACATGACAAAAAACAGTCAAAGGGGCTGGGTATAGTGGCATGCACTTTAATCCCAGCACCCAGGAGGCAGAAGCAGAGACCTGAGTTCGATACCAGCCTGGGCAACAAAGTGATTTCAAGACCAGCCTGAATAGCACAGCAAGCCCCTACCCTTAAAAAAAAAAAAAGACAGCCACAGGTCCTAATGTGACTTGCCATGGTTAAAGGGTAGGAAAGTAACTAATTCTTTCATTCTTAAAGGTAAGAAGTAGTTCTTCTCTCCTCTTCCACAGGGCACTGCTTTTATTTGGGACCATGAGCAGAATCCCTAAGGATATCATGAGCCTGATGGGAGATGATAAAGCCCCTGATGCATCAGCATTTATTTATTTTTGTGGTACTAGAGGTTGAACCCTGGGATGCTTTACCACTGAGCTAGGTGGCTGGCTCTTTTTGAAAAAATTTATTTCAAGACAGGCTCTTACTAAGTTGCCCAGGCTAGCCTTGACTCGATATCTTCCTGACTCAGCCCCTCGGGTAGCTGGGGTTACAGATGTGTACCACCATGCCCAAGGCTTTCTGCCTTCTTTTGTTGTCTTTTAGAGACAGGGTCTCATGCTGAAGTTCAGGCTGGCCTTGAGCTCACTTTGTAGCTAAGGCTGGTCTTGAACTCGCAATGATCCTCCTGCCTCAACCTCCCGAGTGGTGGGATTACAGGTGTGCACTACCCCAGCTGGCTTCATGCCTTCTTGGATAAAATTTTTTGTCCCTTGCAGTCAAGTGCCTCCTAACTAATAAACCACTCCATGTGGCGTTGGCAGAGGAGAAAAAGGAAAACACATCTAGCCAGGGGGCTGGTGAGCAGATGTCTGGGGCCCAGCATGGCCTGCAGGACAGCTGTGCCCACACATCCTTCTATTCTGGTGCTAGGCTTGGTGTTTTGCTCCTCTCACACCCAGGAAGTCGTGTGACAACTGGGCAGTAGGAAAAGGTCTTGACCTGCTCCTGGGCCTTTTACCTCAGGCTGGAGACTGACTGTAAAAGGTGAGTCTAGGGCTCTAGAGCATGGGGTGCACGGGGAACATCTGGCAGGGCTGGACACTTAGCTGCTGCTATGGGTAGGAAATGCTGAGGCATGAGCTGTAGCAAGCACAGCCAGGACCACTGGCACCCTTGGAAGACGGGTGGGCTGTGCGGGCCTGAGTCATAGGAAGACTGGTATTTTCCCAACTGCCAATGTCAGAAGCCTAAAACGCAAATTCACAGCCATCTAAATATCACTGTGCACAGGTGTCTCAGAGGGAACCATGCGTACTGCCCTCAACTGCAGGAAGAGCTTTAGGTCCTTTGGGCAGGCAGGGCAGCTCTGGGATGAGGGCTCAGCCCTCCAGGATCACAGACCTGGGTTCCTGTCTACAGGGTGTGACTTTAGCCAATTGACTTCACCTCACCAAGTCCCATTTTCTCCTCTGTAAAATGGGGATAAACAAACATTGTCTCAGGGAAGTGCTGGCAGAAATCACTGAGATCATGCTTAAACACTGATGGGACAGACCAGAGAACCAAACTAAGGCTATACAAGTAAGCCCAATGAGCCCCGGCCATCAGGATCTGCTCTAAGGAGCAAAACGCAGGCTGGAGGTATAGCTCAGTAGTGAGACACTTGCCTCACATGTGTGAAGTTTTGAGTTCAATTTCTGGCACTGAAGAAATGTAGGGAGAAACAGCCTTTCCAATAAACAGTGATAGGGCCAGGGATATAGCTCAGTGGCACAGCGCCTGCCTGGCAAACACAAGGTCCTGAGTTTGATTTCCAGTACAAAAAACAAAACAAAACAAAACAAAAAAACCACCAAAAAAAAAAAAAAACAAACAAACAAACAAAAAAACCCCCTATCATCCAATAAATAGTGATAGAGCCAATCTGACATCCATGGGCGAAAAAGGGACCTTAACCTTTCAGGTAAACAAAAGCTAACTGAAAATAGACCAAAGACTTAAATATCAAGCAGTAAAACTTCTAGAGAAAAAAAAAAAAAAAAAAAAAAAAAAAAAAAACTTATTCCATTTTTCTCTTGAAAGGCTCAGTAGAATAAGCGCTTGCCTGGCAAACGCAAGGGTCTGAGTTCAATCCCCAGTTAAAAAAAAAAAAAAAAAAAAAAAAAAAAGAAAATCTTCAGGATCCAAGCCTAGGCAGAATTCTAAGACAACACCAAAAACATGATTCAAAAAAGGCAAAAGAATGTTAATTTGGACTATATCAAAATTAAAGTTTTGTTTTGTGAAAGATCCTATAAAGAAGGTGAAAAGAAAACTAGATGGTGGGGTATGCCTGTGGGAAGCTGAGGAAGGAGGATTGTAAGTTTGAGCCCAGCTTGGGCAATTTAGTAACTTAGTGAGATGCTATCTCAAAAAAAAAAAAAAAAAAAAAAAAAAAAAAAAAAAAAGCAGGGTGTGGTGGTACATGCCTATGATCTCAGCATTTTTGGTGGCTGAGATAGGAGGGTGACAAATTCAAGCCCAAACTCAGCAACTTAGTGAGATCTTATCTCAAATAGAGAAATAAAAAGGACTTAGTGATGTAGCTCAGTGTGAAGGCCCTGGGTTCAATCCCTGGTGTCAAATAAATAAAACAAAAAATAAAAAAGGTCAAGATGAAGGTCCAGAGTTCAATCTCCAGAATTGCATAGCTGACAAAGGACGTGTATCTAGAACACACAAAGAACTCTGCCATTGAAGAGCACTGAATCCAATAAGAAAATGGGCAAAAGCCATGCATAGACATTTCCCCAAAAAGGAAATACATTTGGCAAACCAGCACTTGAAAAGATGTTCCATATCATTAGCCACCAGAGAAATGCAAATTAAAACCACAAAGAGATATCACTACATGCCCATCAGAATAGCGAAAATGAAAAACAGTGACAACAACAAATGGCAGTGAGAATGTGGAGAAACTGGATCCCTCATATGCTGCTGGTGGGAATGTGAAATGGACTTCCATACCATATGGGATGCAACTGTACTCTTGGGCACTTATCCCAGAGAAATGAGAACTTCTTTTCATGCAGAAACTTGTATGCCTGAAAGTACGTTTGTAGCAAGGATATTTTGAAGAGTCAAAATCCAGAAACTAGTCAGGTACAGTGGTATACACCTTAATCCTAGCAGTCTGAGAGGCTGAGGCAGGAGGATTGCAAGTTCAAACCTAGCCTGGGCAATTTAAAGACTTATTTAGTGAGATGTAAGATAAATGTCAACAATGGGGACAGCTAGGTGAAGGGATCATGGAGTCTCCCTGTAGATTTCTTTGCAGCTTTCTAAAAATATTATTTTCAAATAAAAAGTTGAGAAAATAAAAGGGGTGAACACAAAGACTCTGGGGGAGACCTGACACAACATACACACACTGACTTTCTCTGCTCCTTCTGTGCCACACCACTCTGCTCATTGCCATCTGTGGCTCCTGTTCTGTGTGGAATGACCCGCTCCCTCCTCTCTGCTGTACACCCCATTTCATCTCCAAGCTCTGCTCAAACGCCACTTCCTCCGGGCAGCTAGCCTGGCTTTGTGGAGCTGGGCTGTGTTCCCTTCTCTGTGGAAACGTGCACTCACGTGGTCGGTCTGTAAGGTCCTCTTTCCACTGGTCAGCAAGAACACAACAGGACCCTGGCTAGATGAACAGTTCAATGGTAGCCACTAAAAGATGAAATAGTGGGTTTGTCTCCTCAAGCTTATAACAGAGGTTTAGAGTTAAATGGTGGTGCAGTGTGTTCCACTGCAGACCTGCCAGGTCAGAAACTCCTTGTCCTCTTCTGGGTGACTGAGAACCTTTGGTTTGGAGGATAGAACCTGTCTAATGGTAGGTGGTTTCATATACATAAACTCACTTACTTCATCCTTTCATGACTCTGCTATATGTCAGCCCCATGCTCTGTGAGGAAACAGACATAAAGCAGGACCTGCAAGCTCCTAGATCCTGCATTTTCTTTTCACACATGCATGAGTACATGTACACACACACACACACACACACACACACACACACACGCACACGTCCTTAACTAGGCTAAGAGAACAGACTACTCAAGACTATTCAAGGCTGTGGTCAAGAGATACACAGGGAGCCCAAGGACACAGAGGCAGTGCTTCCCTTGGCGCCAGAGGCTGCAAAGACTTCCAACAGAAGCAGCATCAACACTCAGGTGCAGAGGAGGGGATAGGACGGTAAAGAACTCAAAGCCAGGGCCATGACTGCAGATAGCCTGCCTACAAATGCAAGTGGCCAGTGGGGCTGGTGTGTGTCCTACAAGGAGCAAGAGCCTTGGGGAGCCGTGGTGGGGGACAGAGGATGTGTACTGGAATGGTCCTGGGAGTTCAGGGAGGGTTTGGGGCAAGGGACAGACATGGGCAGGTACAGGAAGAACCTCTGGCTGCCAAGTGGAGGGTGAAGCAGAGGAGGCGAGGAGAAGGCTGGGAGTATGGGGGTGATGAGGACAAGGCCGTGGCCACAAACTCTACTGCAAGGCTATATAGTTTGGTTTTATCCTGATGGCACTGGGGAGCCATAGAGCATTTGGGAAGATCTCTCAGGCTACCAGGCTGGGGATAGCTCCAAGGGGTAGGATTGAAGTCTGATCAATCATGAGATCTATCAGATGGCCTGGTGTGCAGGGCAGGGTGCTAGAAGGAGATGGGTGGATGGCAAGGCTGGATAGATGATGGTCTGACTCAAAAAAGGAAACAGATGTCAAGAAAATGGCAACCAAATCTCTGCTACAGATTGGGGAGATAGCTCAGTGGCGACTGCACCTGTCTGGCAAGTGCAAGGTAATAAATTCCATTCCTGGTACCAAAAACAGAAACAAAAAACAAAAAACTCTGCTATAAGGAACGCCAATGGTGAGTCCTGCCCAGTCCAGCTTAGCTTTACGTTTGAATGTGAGACATAACCTATCCCTTGGGTTGCTCTAATCAGCTCCCAGGGCCCAGAAACCCCATGAAGTAGCAAATAAAATTTTGGAGGATGCACTTTCTGGGGAAGAAGGATCTGTAACTTTCACCAGACTCTTAATTTGGAAAACCGCCAGAGACTGACCTTTCAGGGGATGGCTTGTATCTTGCGTAGGTGGCAGAACCCGGGGTGGAGAAGCTCCCAGAAGGCTGTCGGTAGGGAGGGACTCTGTCGGCCCCTGCTGGTGATGCTGTGTAAGGGGTTTCTGGGAAGCTCACAGGCCTGGAAGAGATAACAGAGAGGGAGGCAGGAGCCATGGGGAGGTACCCTAACCTCAAGAGCACAAAAGGAAGACAGGGATCTAGCTCAGTGGTGCAGCGCCTGCCTGAGTTTGATTCCTGTTATGCACCACACCCCTCCCCCCTAAAAAAAAAAAGCACAGATGGACAGCTGATCTTTCAGACCCAACCACATCCCATCTGCTAGCCTCTCTTTGGATGAAGAGATAGAAGCTGCCCCCTCTTCCTGGTTCCTGCCCTTCTCCTAGAGAATATGGTCTTCTGCAAGGTTTTTTTTTTTTTTTTTTTTTTTGATATAGATATTGTAATGTAGTTTAACTGGGCCTTGAAATTGCAGCAATCCTCCTGCCTCAGCCTCCCCAGCTCCACAGGGCTGGGATTACAAGGCATGCGCCACCATACCCAGCCCATTAGCTTCATCTGAGGATACAGTTTTATTTTCAGCGCAGGGATGGATCTAAGGGACATATGCATTCTACGCAAGTGCTCTACCACAGAGCCACATCCCCAGCCCTATCTCTTAATGTATACTGTATGCAAAGCAGTATCTAGAAGTTTAACATCAGCAAACTCCCTAAGTGCCCTGACTTCCCCTCCTCAGAATGGAACATGCCTCCTCTTTCCCCTCCCATACTCTCTGAGAAGTTGCTATGCTAACATTTTGTGCTTGTCAGCCTCTTCATCTTTAGAAAAAAAGCAGAGTTCTGACTTGTACTTGCTAGGTGGGTTTCCACTCTCTGGCAGCCCTGTCTAGCACAAGAGGACTGAGGGGAAAGCTAGAGGGAGGGAGGAGGTAAGGAGAGAAGGAGGGAGATGGTGGATGATGGGGTCACAGACAGACTGAGGGGAGGAGACACCAGGTGTGCGCAGGTGGGAGACAGGGCTAAAGGGGATGATGCCCTTGGGGTCCTTACCTCTTGCTGTGCAGTGGCTGGGATTCACGAAAGGGGACCATGGGGGTCTGTTTTGCCGGTCGACTGAGAGACTGGGCGTGTCCTGGGGTGGCTGGGGCAACCCACTTGGAGGCTGGTAGAGAGTTGTGGGAGGCAGGCCCACTCCACTGCCAGGGGGCATTGCTGCGGTAGGGGGGCCGGCCCCCAGGGGTGATGCTCTCCGGCTCAGTCTTGGGCTCCGAGGTACTCATTTCATAGGTCTCTGGCCAGCCCCTGGAGGGAACAACTTGGTTACTTGAGACCCTAGCTGCCTCCCTGACACAGGGACGGGTTTTCCTGGTGACAGCTGAACCATGATGACCTATTTTAAAAGCTGAACAGAGTCTGAAACTTACCACCTCAGAGTTCTAGGACAGGGCCTGACACTCGGGCTCGGACTGCTGGCCTTGCGTTCTCATCCCCTCTCCCATTCCCACCCTGTCTTACATCCTCTCCCTTCTTCCTGGCCCAATCCTCCAGCTGTCCAGTGCCCTGTGCGCCGGCTGGGCCCCCCTTAGCAGTATTTGGGCCGGAAAGGCGGATGCCCTCGGCATCAAAGGACAGTCTCTGTCTTGTTTCAAAGAATCTCAAAGGCTGCTGGAAGGGGAGCAGGTGACCTACTTTGCAGGGTGGTTAAAAAAAACAAAATAAAAAAAAACAAACTACAAAACCCAGAACCCTGAAATAGATGCAGAGCGACCTGTGACTTCCCCCAGACCAGGGCTGGCGCACACACCGCAGTGACACGGGCTCAAGGTGGGATGATATGAAGGCAGGCTGTCATTCTCTGCACGGGCGGGGCCTAGAGCCCCAGAGGCGGGCGTGCTCAGGAAATTCTCCCAGCAGTGGCTGCAAGCTCTGGGTTCTGAGGAGTGCTCAGCCTGGAAGCTCTGCTGCCCCTACCGTGCTGATCTCTGAGGCTTCTCTGGAGCCCAGGGAACCATCACAGCCACTGGGTAAAAGGTCTGGTAGATCTGGCAGCTTAGAGGCTGTGGGACAGGACTGCTAAGGAGCCAGGTGCAGGTGACAGGAGGATGTGCCCTGGCACCGCGGCCTGACATGCTATGTCCCTGGAAGCTCCATCTAGCTGGTGGTAGGCATTTTTAGGTAACCATCCCTAGGTATGCCTCACCAGGAACCAGGTGGGGACTAGTCATGACACAGACGCAGGACAGAGCTGCTAGAAGGCCAGGCTACAGAGGTAGAGGCCGGCGTCATCGTTCTCCCGGGTGGTGCACACCCGGTGCTCCTGCCTGGCTGGCTCCTACAGGCCTTCCGCTTGATAATGGCTGTGTTCGGGGTGGGACAGATCCTACTTCTTGGCTCCAGGTATGTGCACATGGCCTAGGCCTGTCCAATGAAAAACCTCTCCCTTATATGCAGTGACTAGCAGACCCAGGGAGAGCAATGGGATCAACTGCGAAGAGCCACTTCTGGAACTATGGGAGGAAAAGGCTATTTCTATTGGAACTGCTGAGCTACTGGTACCTAGTCCAGAGCTGCGTTCTCATAAAGCTGGGGACTGCATGAGAATGGTGACAACAGGGAAAACAGGTGGGTGTTGGAGGCAGACTTGTGAGAACACAGTCCTTCCTAATCCTGGCCACGTGGCTGGGTCAGATCTCAGACCTCACCACCTACCTGCATGCTTTTGGGGAAGGGATTTCCTTTTTGGAACTCTAGTTTTCTAATTTCTAAGGTGCGGGTAGTCACAAGCTCGGTACCAGCCCTTGAGCAGGGTCTAGCACCGC